TATTTCATTATTCTCACTGCTGAGAAGTGCGTGATACATATCTCCTGTGCTGTGCTAGTGTTGTACAGAAGCTGGTGAAAGCGTTCACAAGCCTGCTAGAAGAATTTGCCCTTTCTGGAAAAATAATGTGCTGCAGATAGGACCTCCTCCAAACACAATCAGCAAAGGCTTTGAGAGGATGTGCTGGTGTGAGTGGCATGGGTGTCCTTATATGTACTTACACCAGCCCTCACTAGCCTGTCACTAGAACTGTTATGCAAACAAGTGATGTATCTTTGCCATAATAGGTATGAGCACCAGAGGGAGAATCCCCACTGAACCCCAAAGCATTACTTGCTCTTGAGGAGCATCCTGAAGGGGCTCAATGTAATGTGAGAGCAGGCTGTAGAATAGCTTGTCTGAGATGATAGAGGAGATTTTGCATGCATGGCCTCCTCTCTTACTCTCCACATCCCCCTCTTCCTCTGTGGATTTTGGTGGAGGCTGGGCAGCAAGTGCAGAGTGACAGCACTTCTCTCTGTCTTGGTTTCTGATGCATTGATTCTATTAAAGCAAAGCAGCATGCTGGGTATTTACAGCATAGCTTGGGACATCTTCTGTCAGACTCGTAATGCAGAGAGACAAGCTCAGTGCTGCTTGGCTTCTAGAGAGTGGGGGAAGGGATTAAATGCACTTTTCTCCATTGATTTTTGTCCTGCACTGAAAATCAATGATGTTCTCTCAGATCCACTCAACTGTTTGAAAACCAGCAGCCTGTTTGGTCAAGTGTGTGGGGAAAAGTTCTGAAGGATCTGACTCTTAAAATATGGGTAGGTGGGATAGATACAGCTGCTCTGAAGGAGCTGCTATATTCACTTGATGATGATTGCTTTTGTATCATCAGTCTATATTGGCTGAATATGTTGTTTAAGACATTTTCCCACTGTTACACAGAGAACAGTTATTTTGGAGAGGAGGAGCCAAATGCTGCTTTTGTTTCCATCTGAGGTTGGGAGGGGCAAATGAAATTTTAATGAAAAAGGATGCAGAAGGATGATTTTTATGCACATTATTTCTCTCTTGTAGGATCTACCTGAATCTAGGGTCTGATTTTGTCCAGGGCAATGGTGTTTCTTGTCTTCCAGTAAATGTGTGAAAAGCTTGTGCTGTAATGAAGAGTTACGGTACTGAATTCCTGTAGAGCTTCTAAACTAGTGCCCATCATTGTGGACTTCATAAAGACTGCTGTATTTGTCTTAATCCCTGAAGAGGGAGAGTGGTGTACTATCCCTGATTTTACAAGGGATGTGTATAGAAAATAGAAGTAGATGGGGTTACATGGGGAGCTAATGAGAGAGCTTGAAACTGAAGCCTGAGGTCTCAAAAAAGCAGGCTGACAGCCTTGCATATTGCCTGCTCTTTCTCTTAGGTCTTACAAATGCTTTTGTAAGTGTTCTTAAGGGAAGGAGTTTTTCTTCTGTCTTCCAAAGTTTTCCTTTGGCCCTAGGTTGCACAAGATGGGTAAATTTGAGTAGCAATCAGCTGTGTAAGATTGACATTTCCTTGTGAGAATGCCTATTATTTCAGAAAAATATGCAGTTGGTGCTTATGTAAATGCATGTTAGCAGATTTAAACTAACTAAGTGAGGTCCTGGTATTTCTAAAGCTGTGGCAATAACCAGATTGGCACAGGATAGCTGCCCAAATGCTTACTCAGGTTCTTGAATGGCTTTACAGCCATTGTAGAGTTTTAGGTAGCCAGTGTTACTCTTCTCTTAACACCAAAGTAGGCTAGCTGAAAGTGCTTTCCCTTTGTCAAAAGCAGATATATCCTAGGGCATATGGATATAAAGGTGTAAGCATGACCTGTATACATGTAAAGTGCAATAGACAGAACACTTGTGTGTATGCACACATGGAAAACCTCACTGTTTCTGTGGCCTTGCTTTGAGCAGCAAGATTTATACGTGTTTTACTAAAGAATAAAAAAGTTCTGTTCTAGCTGGTTCAGCTCAGTAGATGGTCAAAGTCATCCTGTGTGAACTCTACTCCCTACCACATTTGATTCTTCTTACAGAAACTGAGAGGTTTGTCTTCACTGCTGTGGTAGCAGAAATGGAATGGAGTATCTGAGCTAGCTTTTAAAACTTGCTAACTGCACTGGGGTGAAGCTGAAGAGGAGCTGTAAAGGTCTCTTGGACTGGCTTAAAATGGCTTTTGGGAGTGAGTTGTAAATTGCCTCCCACAGCAGTTACAAATGTAGACAAAATCTGCTTGATTTGGCTTTTTTCTCATCAGTGAAGCACAGATAAAATGCAAAATTAAGTGAGTTTTCAGGAATTTTTTTCTCCTAGAAACTCAAAAAGAAAACCATGGAGCAAATGGAGAAAGTATTCCAGTAAGACTAAAAGCTTTAATTCTGCAATTGACTAGCTACAAAAGAGAATAAAGATAATGTATTCATGTGAGTGTGTTTATCATTCCGAATGAAGAGTGTGTGTTTTTTTTCTGGGAGTCTCTCTAGTGCTTGGGTGATGAATATGATTTTTTTTCTGTGCTGGATTTTTACTGCCTCTGAACTTAATTATTCTGACACTAGAGAAATCCTCTTGTTTTCTCCTCCAAAGGTAAATATACATTATTGCTATAAATTAGCTCTACCTCACCCACATGACTGGTCTTCACTATTAATCCCAGCTGATGGTAGGGAGGGGCTCTTCTGGGAGGCAGCCATGTGGTGAACATTGAGCACAGTGTTTTCCCCTGCTTCTCTCCTTTTCAGACAAGCAAAATTGTTCTGTGCTGCTGTAGATGTGAACTCCTTGCTGCACTGTCTCTGCCTCTTCTTTTCCAGAAACTCAAGGGCCTGAGTTACCAGCTGTGGAGATCTAAAAGCTCTCACTGAATCTGGGTGGAATATGGACAAGGAGATGAATAACAGAAGGGAAGAAAGAGTGAAGTTGGTTATTTTTCTGGCACATGGATGCAATTACACTCAGTGCATTCCAGAGGCGTTTCTTTGAATCCTGTGCAGGTCTGCCTGCTGTTCCTGGGAGAAAGGAAGAAAAAAGGGAGGAAAAGTCCCTCTTGCTTCAAGACGGAATGTCTGCACTTTCAATTCTCTTCTTAGGTAGGTTGGATTTCTTGTTTTGTTTAGCGTTTTTAATCAAACTTCCATGTGCCCTCTCTGTGGGACCGAAATTCATTTCGGATGAGCTAGAGAAAGGGATTTGTAAAGAAAAAACTTTTATGGAAAACTCCAGTTTGTGTTGTGTGTGTTTTGACACTTTTCTTGTTGCTTTATTAGCAGACTGATAGTCAGAGATCTCTTAATATCTGGATTAATTTTGTAGAAGTGGTGGTTAAACATACTCCTGGAATGTATATTTCTTGTTTAAAGAGAGCAGCGCATTTAAGCAGTGAACTAGTGAGGGGCTTGAACCTCTTTGGTAAAACAGGGTGAACAAAATGTCTTTGTTTGGGGCATGGTGTCAAATTTTTTTTAACTCTGTTTTGGTTTACTTGGGCATTTACAATCAGATTTTAAAATAAAAAGGGGTTATTGTTTCTGATTGCCTGAGATTAGAAACAGATGTGTTGAAGTGCAAGAGGGAGGAGTTGGGGGAAAGGATGGGAGAAGGGAGATAAAGGGGGAAGGCAAGAAATGGGAAGAAAGAGGGCTGCTAAAAGAAGGGAAAGAAAAAAGGTAGAGGCTGACTGTTGAATAGGAAAGGAGAGGAGAATGGGAAGGGAGACATTAAAGGAGAAAGCGTAGGCAAAAGGGCTGAAGAGAGCTGTTTTTTAAAGCCATAGCCTATGGAGGAAAAGCAGTTTGTAGCCCTGAGGTCTTTGAGGGGGCTTGCCTACAAGACTGATTCCGAAGCAGCCTGGGTTTGTGCATCTCCAGAGGCATGGCAATGTGATGAGTGAGCTTCTGTCTCAGTTCTGCTCACTAGATCATGCTGACAGGCAGACAGCTTTGAAATCTGTTGTGATTGGGCAAAGGCTGTGATTTCTGGGTCCTCCTGTCCCCCAGGAATGTGGGTACAGGTGTGAAAAAGTAGGTTGATCTTTGATTACCTGGGGAGAGTTGAGCCCCACAGGGTGGTGGACCGTTGTGCCTGGGCATGGGTAGAATAGAGTTTTTAGACAGCTATAAAGGAATGTTGCAGGGGACAGTCTTGTTCAAGTCTCATAGGTGTGGAACCTGGACTAGCCAGATTTCTAGATATCTGAAAGATAGGCAGCATTTGTAGAACTGCTGTATCAATTGTAGGAAAGCTTTTTGCTCTAGGGATGGCTGTCAGCAGGTGTTTTACCTGTAGGAATGTGATGAGGGCTTGGATGTGCTGCAGAATCCACAAGAGTGCAGGCAGCAGTTTGTCCCCCCTGTGCATCTGCCTTAGCTGTTTGTGTCTCGTATATGGTGGAGATAGTGCTTAATAGTGTTTAAAGAAGACTTGAGGAGATGGGACAGCAAGGTTAGGATGAACAGCTAGAGGTATCTGGGCTGGGTTAGCTCTGCAGAAATGGCCAGGAAAGCAGCTCTGTGGAAATCAGGAGACAGAAGGGTAGGTTGCTTACCTTGCTGATGGACACAAATAGGAACTGCAGGCTTTGATCCACCAACCCTATTGAGCACCTGAATATTCTCATATGTTAAAGGCTTGGAGCAAAAAGGTATAAGCTGTTGCCACAGAAAAGGTGGTTTTGACTGTAATGTAATGATGACTTACCTTTGTATGACTAGTGCTGCTTTTATCTATAAAAATGGGCTTTATGGTCATTATTCTTATGTCCTTGGCATTGGGCATCTCCACTATGCTAGCAACACATAAACATGAAACAAAAGACAGTCTCTGCCCTCAACAGTTTATGCTCTCACCTGTGAGCTGAATTTCTCAGCCTCTCTGTGGGAGGTGTCCAAACATGGGTGAAGAGAAGACAAGTGGCTTCCCCAAGCTCACAGCAAAACCTGAAATGTTTTGTTTCCTGGTACTGCATTAGCCATTGAACTGCCCCTTGTCTTGCCATGCTTTACCTGTTTTGTCAACAGATAACTTGGTCTTTCTGCTCTGCATCCAGCGTAATTCACCAATGTTAGAAGCTTTTTCCAGGAAAAAGTAAGGAAGTATTGTGGTTCTGTGTTCCTCAGTTGTCTGAAGAACAAGGAGGCTGGGGAGTCTCCTTTGCTAGCTGGAGAAAGTCTAATTGACTTTCTGCAGTTAGATGTGCCAGTGATGGCTTGCTTTTCTTGCTGATAAAGTGAAAGATGAATGAGGAAAAAAGGATTTAGAGAACCCAAGCAAACTTGAAAGGAAGGTTACTTGGTCTGGGTTTTCATTATTAAATATATTAATAGCATGGCTAATATATACAGTCCCTGTCTCTTGCACTGTTTGCTTCTCTGGGGCAAGTGAACACTGTGAGGAGACAGGAAACAGGAGCCAATTAGTTTTGAGGAGATCTTAAAAACAAGACAAGATGAAAGACTTTCTGAAGTGTAGGTGAGAGCATGACCATGCTTACTTCCCTAATAATTTTTAATGAGCCTTCCATTAAAGTAAAAAGCTAATTTTCTGGTAATGAAATATGTTTGCATGTATGCCTGGCTTTAGTATTACATGTTTTTTCTTCATCTGTTAGCTGGTGTACATGCTCTGCCCTTCAGAAACTGCTGGGTCCAAGATCCAAACCAGTAGATGTGCCAAGCCAAATCAGTCATCCAGCTTTCTTGTGTCCTGCTATTGGCAGTGAACCATTAGATTTGTGTTAGGGGTTCCTCACTGCAATGCACACTTAGTCTGGCTGATGATTGTCTGATAAAGCTGTGTTCAGTGTTGGAACCAATGTTATACAGGGGTGATATTGTTGGAGTGAGTGCAGCTGGAATAGCAAAAGTACCTGTTGTACTGATGTAGCTGAGCTCTGCCCTCTGAGGTCAATGATTCTCTTACAACATTGTCCCAGGGGGTTAAAGTTGCTGCATTGAACACCAAGACTCTGTCTCACTGTGCTGGGAAAAAGGTTACTGTGCAGATCCTTCCAGTGCCTGTTGGCATGAGCAATTGGGTCTGACAGCATCCATTTGCCTAGGTATTCACCAGACTTCTAGCTCGAAAATCTGTGATGATATGGAAGCAGCTCTGCAGCACTCAGCAGTGGTAGGTCAGCCTGGGGCTGTGCTCTAGTGTACTGACTCTGGCCTTCTTTCCTGCCTTAAGAGCACAGGCAACCTGCAGTGTGCCCTATCACATCTCCTTGAGATCCTTCTCCTTAAACCCTTGCAATGCTGCACTCCAGCAAAGCCAAGAACCACTGCAGTGTTAGCTTTTTAAAAAAGCACTCCTTCTCCCAGTAAGGTTACTGGGAAGTTTTACATCTTAAGGGAATGCTTATGCCTGGTACTAGTAAAAAGCAAAGGAGACTGTTTTAAGCAACTTGAAAACTAAGCTGTGATGGACCATATTTCTGCTGCTTTTCCAGGTATTTCCTGAATTTCTCAGTGATAACTAGCAGTATATTATACACTGGCTCCTTAGTTTTCTCATGGCTCCTTCTCTGTTGCCTTTGCCTGCTTGTTTCATGGTGTACCTAGAAGCTTGGTGGGACAAGGATTTTGCACTGTTTTTATAGCACTTAACAAAAACAAAGCCTTGGCTTAGGAGTGGAGTATAAAAAGAAGAATCTGTAGCTGTGAAAAGATCTTGTGTGTGATATTGTTGTGTGGATTTTGCCTTCTGTTTGTGTTACTGGATTCTGAAGGAATGCAGGTGATTTCTTGGTGTATTTAGCTCAAAAGACTTCCTATAATTCAAGGACAGCTTCATATAATTGATAACTGACAACTCATTTCTACAAAACATCAACTGTATGCAAGATCCAACTTATTACAATAGTGTGAATTTAGTTCTGGGACAGGGCAAAGAGCTCTTTAGTAGAATGCTAATCTAGGAATACCTAAGGAAAGGGAGCAAAGAAAAGCAGTGTATCTATTTGACACTCCAGGAGCAATTCAAAGGAGCTAGATATAATTGAGTGAGTTGTTATCTGGCAAGATATCAGGGTTACACTCCTTGTGAAACACTAAAATACTTTTATAGCCAGAAATGGTTTGGGTCAAATATTTTCTGTCAAGACAGTTGACAAGAAACGGCCTAGTTTTCTTTAATATGGCTTTGTTTTTATTAAATAATTTGGATTTTTAGCATATATCGTTTACTTTGGGGGTTATTTTTGTTATTTTTTCTCCATTTTACTATGAGAAAGAAGAAGATAAAAAGGTAACCTTGCAGAGTGAGGAAAAGCAGCATGCCAAAATTGAGTTAAAATTCTGAAGATTAATTTATTTTATGGGAAATAATGCTGGGGGGGGTAGGCAACTTTTCTGAATTTCCCATATGAGGAAAAGCAGCATGCCAAAGTTGAGTTAAAATTCTGAAGATGAATTTATGGGAAATAATGCTGGGGGGGTAGGCAACTTTTCTGAATTTCCCATGGAAAACTGGTGTTTGCCTTTGTGCCCACCCTGGATCTTGTCTCCTCAGTGCAGAATTAGTGGTCTGTCTCTGTGGGGTACTCTGGCCCACTTCAGAAGGACGTTTTGTGTAAGAGCAGCACAAGCTTCCCAGAAATGTCATTGCACAACTAGCTTGGAGATATCCTGATGTTTATCCTCAGGATCACAATAAAATGCCCCTGTTTTCTTCAAGGCAAATAAAGGGCTTTGTAGGGAACTTAGCAGGTTTGTAATCTGGGATTTGTTTGAGTTTTCAGGAACTGTCTTGAAAAGAAATGTAAACAATGACTGACAAAGCCTTGTGTGTATCTAAAAATATTTGTGTGTAAGTGTGGTTGCTACATGGTGCTGAATGATTGCAAGTGTGTCTAGTACCAATGAAGTGGGGTGCTACAAGCTGTTTTCTGTGTCATTTCTCTTCAGAAATAGTCAAACTATACCTTAGATATCTAGTTAAATTAGTCCCCTGGGTTTGCCAAGACAGTAGTCATTGCTTGTGTATCTGTAATGTACTTTATACACTTTCAGAGAAAGCTTGGCTCGTGTGCACACAATATTGTGCATCTCATGTGCATTGATGTGTTACAAAAGAGGCTACTTTGGGTGCAGTT